GGCCTCGACGGAGCACAAACTCTGCAGCGGCGACGAGCCGCGGGAACAAGCCTGGCCTGCTCACCTCGCACTCGTGCCAGCGGCCTCCAGCGGCGGCCTGGGGTGGCCTCGCGGCCCAGTGGCTCTGGCGGGGGCCCAGGTCGGCCTGGCGGGAAAACCGTGGCCTCCCAGCGCGAGAGGCCCTACGATGATGCCGCCTGGTGCGTCAGTGCCCGCGCCTGGCTGTGCCAAGTTGGCCCCTCCGCCCTCTTAGGGCCAATTGTGAAGGGGTTGGGGAATATTTCGGCCAAGTCGTTTTTCATTTTATAAAGGATGTATTTTACTCCCTTTCAGGAGAGTTGTGGTGCCCTGTGGGTCAATATTTGTTCTTTAGTTTCAACATCTTTAGAAGCATTAAAACCCTCCCTGTTAAATATTCTCCAGAAACGCAACCCTGGTCAGGACAGGAAATATTTTAGCAACCTCGGTGGTCGCCTACTTTGTGGCGTTTTGCTCAAACCACTTTGAAACACACCTACCAATTGTGTATGATACGATTTTATTTCAAAGCCGTAGTAGGACTTCGTTTTGTTTTCAAAACAGCTAAAGCAGTTGTCTGAGTGGTGGACAAGAGGGGGAGGCAAACTCTATGACAAACATCTAATGGTCAATTAAGTTACACCGGTGTGACACATGATGCTATTTTTGTCTGCGTGATGGCACAATTTACCCACCTTATTTTTCTCTTTCCATTCAGACTTAACCAGTTCCTCTAATATAATCAAAGTAGCCCGAAGATTCGGCTTTTGGCTGAATGAGAATTAGTGATCTGACTAAGAAATACCCTTTTGTAACATCCCCTCCATACAATGCCAGTTGTGTCTCCATGACCCAAATTGGAAAGAACTGAGATGAATTTGTACCATTTTGCTGACACAAACTAAGAGAGGGCTGGGGAAGAGAAGGTTGGCTGCCAGACATAGAAATAAGGAGTTGATGGTTCCGCGGGGGAAAGCATTGAGGTTCCTGTTGAGCCCCCTGAGAAGGCTCCTGGGTTTTTCATCACCTTCCTGTTGAAGGAGACTAAAGTTTTGCCACCGGAAGTTGCCTTTTGGAATACTGGCCTTTAACTGGTTACTAAGAGACAAAGACTCAGAAAAGAACCTTTGACTCTCCTCCTTTCATGCCCAAGAGACTGAGAGAAACACCTGCTTCAGGAAGGGAACCTTAGGACCTCGGATGTCTGTCGCCTTAGCCTAATGTGAATTGAGCGTGGCAAGTAGGAGTGCGCCAGGCAGGGGCCTGCTAGCCAGATACTCCCTGTGTCCCACTGTTTCCTAGTTGCTTCGGTGTCAGGGCCAGTCTGACAGGTTGAGCCGGGCTGAGGTAGGGAGGTGGGAATTGAGAAAAGAAAGAAAGACAGGAAAGCGGGGTCGGGAGGACTCCAGTTCTCTCGACAAACTGAAGCAACTTTATTAGCCACACAATCCTATTTATACATAACACACTGAATAGGAGGTCTGTCAAGAGGAATGTATTCTTTGTTCCTCTTAATCTCTAAGGGAGAGACACAGCAGAAGGACAAGTTCTCAGTACAGCATATCTCAGTAAATAGTTACAGACTTCTTGGTAAGCTATGAAAGGCTGTTCTTATTCTACAAAGGTTGCTCTCATTCTACTGATAATCACCATCCAAACAAGTCTGGGAAAACTGTGTAGGTAAGGGTCCCAGCCTTGCTAGCCCCTTCAGGTGCAAGGACCTTGCCAGCTTACATCTGGCCCCCAACACTTCGGGGGATTTTCATACCACCTGTGTTCCCTCTTCTTTAACTCCCTATAAATTGCCCATTCTCACTTTTGAAATCTTAGACCCCTCCCCCCCTTAACCCTCAACCTTTTTCCTTTGTCCAAAATGTCATATATACCCAATGTTCCCTCACTGTCTTTGGAATTTTCATGCTTATTTGAATTCCTTGCATGTATTAACATTTTTATTTTCTCTTGTTAATCTGTCTCTGCTAATGTGATTATTAGCTCAACTAGAAGAATTTAGAAGGTGGGAGG